TCTGGTTCATCAGCTGGATCAGCAGAACCACAACCAGATTCTGGTTCTTACTTGGGTCAGAAAACCAGATGCTGAGCTTCTTGCTGTGTTGATGATTTTGGGAAAGCTGCATGACATGAGTTAAAATAATTAGTGTTTCTATGTTTTTTCTTTTGACCATGTTTTGTGATGCATTCAATTGTAACCTGTAAATTTGAAAATCTACACTGAAATTGTAATTGTTCTAAAACCTGAAGTCTAAATGTCTCGTGTTCATACTGATGATTTTCAATGTTCCAGTTGTATTCTGGTTTTGTTACATGACATTTTACAGATACAGCAAGTTCTGTGTCAAATTTCCATCTGAATGATTGAAATTACATGGGGTACATAAACACCCCCCGAGGCTGAGCGCCACGTTTTCTTGGTGAGCTGCAGGGGCTGTTGGGTAATACTGAGCACGAAATGAGTGGACTCTTCAGGGTTGGTTCTGTTCAGTGTTGGGTTGGTTTATGTTCAGGTTGTTGGTGACACAAGTCAGAAGTTCTCACATTGTAGAAAAAAGGGAAGCATGTTGCATTTGAGAGCATCAGAACTATGAAACTAATCGTGAGCTGACAATCAAATCTTCATAACTTGATTGTATCTTTGTGGTATGAGATTAGTGCAGTTTAATGTCGTCATGTCTGAGCTGAAGGCTCAGCCTTTGCAGTCAGTTTTCACCGCTGGTCAATGTCACAAGTCTTTTAAAAAGCCCAAACACAACACGAGTTTTGGCATTTTTGTAAGTAAAAGCACATTTTTCTTCACATGAACACTCACATGTCAATCCAACACCTAGTCCGTGTGGTTGCCAGGTGTGCAAAGCCCCCTCTCCTCAACAATTCACCAATCGCAACACGGATGCAGTCATGGGTGATTCTCGGACCACAAACTGCGTTGTAGTCACAAAGCACAGCCTTCCATTAGCGTGCAGACATGTCGGGTTTATTCAACCTTTATTGAGACGGGTTAATCCCATTATAGTTAACATCTCTACTATGGTCTCTTCTGTCCAAAGAATAGTCTTGTTTTGTTAAGATGCAGATTTGAAAACTGTGCTGCTGTTAATTTTTCTTTATGAGCAGAAACTTTTTCCTGACAGTTTCCACACGAGCCACGCTTCTGAAGTTGCCTTGATATGAACCTAAAGTTTAAAGTGCTAGCTGAGTCCCTTAGAGTCTGACATAAAGCTCTTGGGGGTTCTGTATTCTCTTTGAACATTGTCTAATGTCACGGTCAACCTAGAGGGACAGGCAGTCCCTGAAGATCTTTAGGGATGGAGGAGCCAGTTTGGGAAACTCTGCTCAGGACAGATGCAACAATGTGGAAATACCAACAACTTCCCTAGAGGCAGCAGCGCACCCCATCGCTTGCCAACCACAACACAAACAAGTTAAAAATAGTTGGTTTGGTATTTAAGCTTTACTTTAGTGTCTCCACCAGCAACAATAAATATCCTGCAACACATTACAGCTTATCGTGACAGATGTGGATAAAAACTAAAATATAAAATCAAAACAAATTTTAAAAGTAGCTGCAAGACAACAAAACATTATTGCACATTTCTATACAATGCTTTGGGTTCAGTTTGGCAAAGCGCACGTGTAAGGTCAAGGGACTCTTCTAATTAGTGATGGCCTAAAATTCAGACAAACGGACAAAACAGGAAAGCTCATAAATAAAAGTAAGGCAGAAAACCTAAACCTAGGAAAACCTCAAAGATTCAAGACAGAAAACTAAAGGAAGGCGCTGAAACGAGTCACATTCAGCTAAACCTGCACTTCGTCTCTGAGCCTAAACCGTGTCTAATCTGAAGTTCTGTTCAGGTTGTCCACAGACGATATGTTCATAGCTGCATCGTGGAGCAGCACAGGAAACAAATGGAACGCAGACGGATGGAAAATATTTTAAGAGAAAATATTACAAATTCATTACTGTTTGGAAGTATTACAATTTGGAGCTTGTATTCTTATCAAACAACTCGTTTAAAGTTTTTGTCTTTAATTGCTGCCATAAACTGGTTCCTGTTGCAATAATCCCTCCACTTTGAGCCAGTACCTCAACTGGTGATTAGCATTCACAGGGGAGTTCGCTCGAAAAGTCCTTGTGTGTGTCGTCTTTTGAATTCTGAACACGTTAAAAAAAGGTTAGGTTTTGTCTCTAATCCATGTCAAGAGTGCTGGAGCTTTGGCACATGCCAGGAGCTCTCCTCATGGAGCACGTCTGAGGCCAGAGTCCACGGCTGCAAACTGTGTGGATGAACAAAGTTTACCTGCCCTCCTAAGGCGCACTACAGAACATGGTCAGCATTCACAGCACTTGGCACGGTGTGCACAAAGCGAGCCAAGGCAGGTGGTCGGACAACAAAATAATGTACACGGCCTAGACTACAGTTTTACAAATTGTGCACGTAAAAACTGATCTTGAAAACCTGACAGTGCAACAAGCAGCCTCATGGTTTGCTGCTCACTTGGTTGCAAACACTCAGGAATCGGTGAGACCGCCGCGGACACTTTGCATGTTTCTGTGCAAATCTGAGTCACCAACTAACCAATGTGGACCAGTTACAGACCAGTGAGATACTCCCTTCAGACCTGGCATTTAGAGGCTGTTGTCAGCAAGAGAGATGCTAGGGCACCGTTTTCTACCCCTCAGCAGCCTCGAACAGCCAGAGTGAGCCTAACTTTCAGATTACAGTGAACTGGCAGTTTCCTCAGACTGTGTTTCGGTGCACATGGCGTTTTGTGAGAAGGACACACAATTGATTTCTCTGACGGGCCTAAAGAAACCTTAGCTGAGTGTAAAAAGAGCATAATGGTAGCATTTTTATGAATGAGCCATTATTTAAACAGCAATGGTGATAGTTTGTAAGCATACACTGGCTCATGTCAAAGCCTCTTCAGTACAGAGCCTAGAGCTGCACCGTACCTTCGACTTAACGCTGAGCTGTGTGACCAGTAAAATGGACTTTCCACAGAATAATGTTGCTTAGTAAAATAAAGCATATGTAATGTTGGCAATTTGCCCTGTAAAAAGTATCCACACGTGTTTGGATGTCCTCGTGTGCATCAGTAACAATAGTAGAGCTGAGAGCGCAGCCCCCTGACAGCGTCCTCATCCTTCCCTCCAGCCGGCCTGCCTTCAAACAGCATGGACTCTGGGAGCACCACGCCCTCCAGTGGATCCGGCTGGCAGAACTCCACTATGAATTCTTCCTCGCAGTCCAGCAGCAGCCTCGACCAGGCGCTCATGTCGAGCCGACCAGTGGTGCCACCGTACTCCTCTGGCAGAAACGATGGTGGGATGTTCCGGTGCAGGGAGCGCAGGTCTGAGCCGTGGAGGACATACTGTCCAGAGAGACAGAAAAGACTTGTCAGAAGCTGTCCTTTAGCTGCCTTTGTAGCTGAAGGGGCTAAATTTAATTTAAAAAAGGCATTTAGAAAACTGCACAGTGCCATACAATATACAAAACACACAATAATGTGTTCATAATGTGTTCTTTAATACAAACTGGATTCCAAAAAAGTTGGGACACTAAACAAATTGTGAATAAAAACTGAATGCAATGATGTGGAGGTGCCAACATCTAATATTTTATTCAGAATAGAACACAAATCACAGATCAAAAGTTTAAACTGGGAGAATGTTTCATTTTAAGGGAAAAATCTGTTGTTTCCAAATTTCATGGCGTCAACAAATCCCAAAAAAGTTGGGACAAGTCCATTTTTACCACTGTGTGGCATCCCCCCTTCTTCTTACAACACTCAACAGACGTCTGGGGACAGAGGAGACCAGTTTCTCCAGTTTAGAAATAGGAATGCTCTCCCATTCATGTCTAATACAGGCCTCCAACTGTTCAATCGTCTTGGGCCTTCTTTGTCGCACCTTCCTCTTTATGATGCACCAAATGTTCTCTATAGGTGAAAGATCTGGACTGCAGGCTGGCTATTTCAGTACCCGGATCCTTCTCCTACGTAGCCATGATGTTGTGATTGCTGCAGAATGTGGTCTGACATTATCGTGTTGAAAAATGCAGGGTCTTCCCTGAAAGAGATGACGTCTAGATGGGAGCATATGTTGTTCTAGAACCTGAACATAGTTCTCTGCATTAATGGTGCCTTTCCAGACATGCAAGCTGCCCATGCCACAAGCGCTCATGCAACCCCATACCATCAGTGATGCAGGCTTCTGAACGGAGCATTGATAACAACTTGGGCTATCCTTGTCCTCTCTGGTCCGGATGACATGGCGTCCCAGTGTTCCATAAAGAACTTCAAATCGTGACTCATCTGACCACAGAACAGTCTTCCATTTTGCCACACTCCATTTTAAATGACCCCTGGCCCAGTGCAAACGTCTGAGCTTGTGGAGCTTGCTTAGAAATGGCTTCCTCTTTGCACTGTAGAGTTTCAGCTGGCAACGGCAGATGGCACGGTGGATTGTGTTCACTGACTATGCTTTCTGGAAGTATTCCTGAGCCCATTCTGTTATTTCCTTGACAGTGGCATTCCTGTTAGAGGTGCAGTGACGTTTAAGGGCCCGGAGATCACGAGCATCCAGTAGAGTTTTACGGCCTTGACCCTTATGCACAGCGATTGTTCCAGATTCTCTGAATCTTTTGATGATGGTATGCACGGTTGATGATGACAACTTTATTTTTTATTTTTTCCCCTTGTCCTGTCCGGCATTGTGACACTTAAAATTATTGTCTGAGTGTCAAAGTGATGCCCAACAGATTTACTTTCACAAGCAGAGCATTATGGCTGGCCTTAATGCTCCACTTGATATATAATTTAAATGTTATTAGAATATGTTTTGGGTTTGTTTCAGATATAATGGACACGGGGACGGAAAACAAAGAAGATAACAAAGCAGAAAAGTGAGAGAAGAGTTAAAATGTAAAGAAGGAGATAGGAATAGAGGAGAGACAGAGGGATAAAGAGAACACAAATCAACATCATTGAAGTCTGACTCTAGACCTGCGGAAAGAGAGAAAAAAAAACGACAAGGCCCGGAGATCACGAGCATCAAGTAGAGTTTTACGACCTTGACCCTTACGCACAGCGATTGTTCCAGATTCTCTGAATCTTTTGATGATGTTATGCACGGTTGATGATGATAACTTAAAAGTCTTTGCTATTTTACGCTGGGTAACACCATTCTGGTATTGCTGCACTATCTTTCTGCGCAACAATGGTGGAATTGGTGATCCTCTTACCATCTTGGCTTCTGAGAGACACTGACACTCTGAGAAGCTCTTTTTATACCCAATCATGTTGTCAATTGACCTAATTAGTGTTAATTGGTCTTCCAGCTGTTCATTATATGCTCAATTTTCTTTTTCCAGCCACTTATTGCTACTTGTCCCAACTTTTTTGGGATTTGTTGACACTGTGAAATTTTGAATAAACATATTTTTCCTTTAAAATGTTACATTTACTCAGATTAAACTTTTGATCTGTCATCTATGTTATATTACAAATAAAATATTGACATTTGCCATCTCCACATCATTGCATTCAGTTTTTATTCACAATTTGTTTAGTGTCCCAACTTTTTTGGAATCTGGTTTGTAATAATAATACTTTATTTATAAAGCCCTTTAAAACAGCCACAGCTGCAACAAAGTGCTGTACATATAAAATCAAGAAAATTTAAACACATAAAAATAAAACTGTTGTTAAAACATTAATATCAATAAAAACAGTGCAGAGCAAATTCAGTGTGTGCTAAAAGCCATAGAGTAAAAATGTGTTTTTAAAAAGTTTTAAAACTGGACAGTGAAGGAGCTCGTCTGATGAGAAGATGGAGATCGTTCCACAGTCCTGGAGCGGCACCAGAAAAAACTCTGTCCACTCTGATCCTCCGTTTGGACCTCGGCTCCTCCAGGAGCAGCTGATCAGCTGATCAGAGGCACCGAGCAGGAGAGAATGAGTGAAGCAGCTCAGAGAGGTAGGATGATGGAGCAAGACCATTTAAACTTTTAAAAACAAATAAAAGAATCTTATAATGAACAGGCGGCCAGTGGAGTGAAGACAGAGTTTGTTTGAACCAGGTCTCTCTTGTAAATGAGTCCTCAAGGCTCAATGAGACTAACCTTGACATAAATAAATAATTAAATAAATGAACACAAACGGCACGCTGATGTCGCCATCACTGAGAGTTGGAGAGTGAATGTTTGGTGGTTTTCAAGATAAGAACTTTTCCAGACACGAGTTAATCAGAGAATGTAATTAAACCTTAATGTTTTGGAGCAAGATGTTCAAGAGGAGTTACACTGTGGAGAAGAACAGAGGGAGGTTTGGGGGATTTTATTGTTTTGCCCAAAGCAGCGCAGAGTGACGGAGGTGGTGAGAGCAGGGAGCAATGATCAGGTGCAATGGTGGAGTCAGGGGCTGTATAAGAACGTATAGTTTTATCAATCATTTGAGGGAACTATACTTTATAAGCAATAGAAAAACAGATTTTGCAAATGATAGGAGAGGTCAATTTACTCCCCCCACACACACACACACACAGTGGTCTTGGATGTTGACATGGCAACCCAATCTTCAAAGACAACCTTTCTTTCACCCACTGTAGATGCAGCCACACATAAAAACAGAAGGTGGTGCTTGACTTATTTTTCAAGTTCTCATGCTCACCACATGCATGGACGGACAGACGGAGGATCATTCCAGTTCGCCCTCTTTGCTCCACAATGGGAACATACATTCATCTAGATATTTCCTTGAGAAGTTGATGGCATGTAAAAGAAAAGCAGCATCTTACTGAGCTGAGCTCCTGTTCAGAACTGGCTGATGAATGAAAAATGCTACTAAATACTGATTTACTGTACATTAACTTTAAAAAGTAAGAAACGTGTCATCATGGTTTTTATAGGTTTTAAATCAGGCAAGCCTAAGAAATACAAACTTTTATCTTTGACAGATTAGTTTAATTTAAATGTGAAAAGAAAGTATTTTAGAGCACGGGTTGATGAGGAACATTAGCAAGAAAGCAGAAAATGGAGCTTTGTTGAAAATGAAACAAGTGAAGGACAACACCTACCCTCTCTGCCATCTTCTCCTTCAGGAACGGCTTGATTATTGCAAAGATGCCTTTGAAGATCCTGGGCTCATTAATTATGTTGACAGCTTTTATTCGGATTGGAAAGCCATCCTGCGAACAACGAGAACATGACACTGCACAAACACCTCATCTGAAAGTGAACATTTAAAAGAACAAAGCTACAAAATCCTGCAGGACTCACACACAAACCATTATTGTTTTAGAAAATCTTTTTTTAATGAGCTCCATGCTTGCGTCTAAAACATGAGTGTAACAGAGGTTCAGTGTTTTGTGATAAGATGATAATTTCAGCACAAATGTCTTCAGATTATAGATCTAAAGACTATGCAGATTAGAAACAGTGTTTTTATCTTGGAACAGCTCACCTGGAGGATGCTCACAACTTTCTTGGCAAGGAAGGGACCTGGATTGGATGCTTGTGACATTCCCACTCCGGTGTAGTCGGCTAAAATGACGATACCGTTGACCTGCGTTTCCTCAGGCTGGATCAGCTTCTCCAGCGTCAGGTAAATAGCTCTCACATTGTCAACAAACGGATAATCGTTTGGTGTCCATTTTCCTGTTAAAACACAGGGCCTATCATAAGGAGGCTCCTCTTTACTCCATGCCTGCTGAAAGGCTCCACACAACACTGAGTTCAGGTTAAATGTGGAAAATAAATATCAACCCTGGATTATGGAAATGTAAAAACAAGCAAACAAAAAAAAAAACTTAATGATTTCTTCACAGAAAAACAAAAAAAAAAAAAAGTGCCGCACACGTCACATTATATGCCCGTCAACAAACTATTACACAGCAATCTATAGCAATGGTGTGGCCAAGCAAAGACCTGGTATAATGTTTGACCTTGATTTGTGACCTTGATTTTGGAGCTGGGGTGATGAGACGTGTACAAGACACTCCCTCTGTCTAGTGAAGATGCACAGCAGTGACGTGCGGTGAGCTTTGACAGGTGAGGCACGGACTCGTCTGGAATTGGATGCTCATATACAGGTCCTTCTCAAAAAATGAGCATATTGTGATAAAGGTCATTATTTTCCATAATGTAATGATAAAAATGAAACTTTCATATATTTCAGATTCATTGCACACCAACTGAAATATTTCAGGTCTTTAATTGTTTTAATACTGATGATTATGGCATACAGCTCATGAAAACCCAAAATGCCTGTCCCAAAAAATGAGCATATTTCATCCCACCAATGAAAGACAAGTGTTTTTAATACAAAAAACACCAACCTTCAAATAATCATGTTCAGTTATGCTCTCAATACTTGGTCGGGAATCCTTTTGCATGAATGACTGCTTCAATGCGGCGTGGCATGGAGGCAATCAGCCTGTGGCACTGCTGAGGTGTTATGGAGGCCCAGGATGCTTCGATAGCGGCCTTAAGCTCATCCAGAGTGTTGGGTCTTGCGTCTCTCAACTTTCTCTTCACAATATCCCACAGGTTCTCTATGGGGTTCAGGTCAGGAGAGTTGGCAGGCCAATTGAGCACAGTAATACCATGGTCAGTAAACCATTTACCAGTGGTTTTGGCACTGTGAGCAGGTGCCAGGTCGTGCTGAAAAATGAAATCTTCATCTCCATAAAGCTTTTCAGCAGATGGAAGCATGAAGTGCTCCAAAATCTCCTGACAGCTGCTGCATTGACCCTGCCCTTGATAAAACACAGTGGACCAACACCAGCAGCTGACATGACACCCCAGACCATCACTGACTGTGGGTGCTTCACACTGGACTTCTGGCATTTTGGCATTTCCTTCTCCCCAGTCTTCCTCCAGACTCTGGCACCTTGATTTCTGAATGACACGCAAAATTTGCTTTCATCCGAAAAAAGTACTTTGACCACTGAGCAACAGTCCAGTGCTGCTTCTCTGTAGCCCAGGTCAGGCGCTGCTGCCGCTGTTTCTGGTTCAAAAGTGTCTTGACCTGGGGAATGCGGCACCTGTAGCCCATTTCCTGCACACGCCTGTGCACGGTGGCTCTGGATGTTTCTACTCCAGACTCAGTCCACTGCTTCCGCAGGTCCCCCAAGGTCTGGAATCGGCCCTTCTCCACAATCCTCCTCAGGGTCCGGTCACCTCTTCTCGTTGTGCAGCGTTTTCTGCCACACTTTTCCCTTCCCACAGACTTCCCACTGAGGTGCCTTGATACAGCACTCTGGGAACAGCCTATTGGTTCAGCAATTTCTTTCTGTGTCTTACCCTCTTGCTTGAGGGTGTCAATGATGGCCTTCTGGACAGCAGTCAGGTCGGCAGTCTTACCCATGATTGTGGTTTTGAGTAATGAACAAGGCTGGGAGTTTTTAAAAGCCTCAGGAATCTTTTGCAGGTGTTTAGAGTTACGTCGTTGATTCAGATGGTTAGGTTAATAGCTTGTTTAGAGAACCTTTTCATGATGTGCTAATTTTTTGAGACAGGCATTTTGGGTTTTCATGAGCTGTATGCCATAATCATCAGTATTAAAACAATTAAAGACCTGAAATATTTCAGTTGGTGTGCAATGAATCTGAAATATATGAAAGTTTCATTTTTATCATTATATTATGGAAAATCATGACCTTTATCACAATATGCTCATTTTTTGAGGACCTGTACATGAACCCAAAATAGAAGCTTATATTTCAATTCAGCCTTTTTTTTATTAAATACATCTAATTATGTTTTAATCGACTCCATACCCCTCTCTTTTTAAATAAATAAAAAAATCATGTATTATCTTACCATTATTTTTAAGATGAACGAGTTTAGAAAAATCCTTTAGTTTTGAGATATGATCTTCCACCCCGTCCCTCTGCGTAACAGAAGAGTGCACAGCAACGTGCACATGCTTCCTTGTCCCTATGGGGCAGCACTGCCCCCTATCAGTGCAGCAAGGTATAACCTGCCTCGCCCTGTGTATTTTCAGCGTGCATCATGACTGATTAGAAAGCAGAAATATGTCACACATTCATTCAATATATTAGGCAGACTGTAGAACATCAACATGTGTAGCACATGTGTAATCAAACATGTATATTGGTGATGTAAAGAGAGACGGCACCAACTGCCTACTTCATTTATTGTATATGACACAGCGCCCCCAGAGGTGAGCCAGAGCACTACACTGCATCACTCAGCACATTTCTTCCATGTTTGAACAGGTAATGTGTAAATTCTGCAATTTTGACCATTGGAGAGTTGAAATAATTCAGAAAACTATTTGATAAAACATTTTTATAGAACAGTCAAGTGGTCAAATGTATGTTCTCTTATCACTGTTAGTATTTTACTTGTCATGATGACAGGTGCGACACTGCCTTACCTGCCTCCCCTGACTGCACGTCACTGATGCATAGGTGTATGAAGTTCTGTTACATTATACTGAGTAAATCAGGAGTTATGCTGCGAACAAGAGAAAGTTCACAGACGTTTGGACCTATGAACTTGTGTCTCACCTTCAACGGACGTATAAAAATACCAGATGAACTCTTCACAGGAAAAAAAGAATAAAATTGACACCAACCTGGCCGGAGAAAAAGGATGTATCTTCCGTTGGGGTCTGGTCGTGGTAAGACCGTGAGGAAGCCCAGGTCCAGCACGTGTTTGATGGTGGATGGCTTCAGGTCCTGGAACACTTCAGGCCAGGCCTTTCGGCCCGCGTGATAATTAAGCAGCAGCTGCAGGGCACGGTCATAGTCAAACTTCCTGGCCCGCAGGAAGCGGAGAAGGAAAGCATCATCCAGACGAGTTCGGAGATTGGGATGTTCCTGAGCAGAGTGAGGAAACGGGGCCAGATTAACACTTTGCTGTACCCTGGGCAACAATCTTCAAGGGCCCCATCATCACGACACCACAATCACCATAATCTGGCAAAATACAGAATAAATTACCATAATATACAGTAAATGTACTTAAAATTCTAACTATCAAGTGTATTTTTATGTATAAAACTCAAAATGCTCAGAACTATAAATGCTACTACGTCCCCTTGTTGACACAAAACATCAAGACTGAGTTAAGTTGAACGCACTTTGAATACAGTATGACACCATGTGTACTTGTTTAGCAACGTGTTGGCCATTAGTGTCAGAAGCATTTGTAATGTGGGGGGACACACTGATGGGGGGGGGGGGGGGTGGGGGTTCTCTCCCAGAAAATTTTGAATAAAGTAGATGCCATTTCCTGCATTCTGGTGTATTTTAATGGTTGTTAAACATCTAGTTTTACCTACACAAGTAAACACTTGATTCAATAATTAGAGCTAATGGCACAACAAGTAGTAATCTGACCAACAGCTGATTCAATAATTAAAAATATTATATATTAAAAGGTGACGATTTGATGCCCACATTATCATTAAATGACTTAACTTAGTTGACTTCAATGTAATAAGATTATCAATGAATGTTTGTGACAAAGGATTTACTGATTATAACAAAGATTCCTTCAAGAAACCTCCCAGTATAAACCATAAAACCAGAATGACTTCTGCTCATTCTAAATTTATCAAATGGCCTAAATCTCCTAAAGTGAAGGAGAATCATTTAAAAATAATAAATAAGATATATCCTGTAGCCATGTTTCTTGAAAGAAGATTTAAATTTGAGGTTGATTTGTTGCCTTTTGTAAATCAGAAGATGAATCCCTCAAGTATGTTTTTTTTTTTTCCACGTCAGTACAAAGTTTTTGGTCAAACATCAGAAACTGGATTAATCTCAAACTTAACATTCCTTCTTTTGATGCTGATAACATTTTACTTTATGTGGATAACTTAAACTCAGCTTTCTCTGATGCCATAAATATAATTGTACTTATAGCAAAGTAGCACATTCACTGTAGTAAGAGGAGTGATAATAAACCCTCCTTCCTGTTTGATGAATGAATTTAAGTCATACTGACAGCGACTCGGAGATATTAAACTTCCACCTTCTAAGCCCAGATTAATTCAAAACAGGGATCTGAAACATTTTTGTGAACAGTCATTCCTCTGGGATCTGTCTCACTTTGACTGGCATCATATTCTGTTAACTGATGATGTGAACTCTGCTTGGAACTATTTTCATAATAGTTTCATTTATCTTGTGAACAAACATGCTCCTTTACGTCAGTTCAGAATAAAGGGATGAGACAGCCCCTGGTTGACTCCAGAGCTAGCTGACCTCCTGCACAGGAGAGATCATCTTTGGGCTGCAGCGAGAAAATCTGACTCAGACACTGATTGGTTGAGTTTTCGACAGATGAGGAATAAATGCACAACTGCTGTCAAAGCAGCAAAACGCAACTATTTCTTATCTCAGACCTCCAAAAATCTAAATGACCCTAACAGATTCTGGAAAACCATCAAATCTCTCTCAGGCACCCCCCAATCATCTGACCTCCCATCACAACTTCTCATTAACTCTGTTCCTGTGTCAAATAAGCACGAGATCCTGAACTGTCTCAACAAACATTTTGTTGCTTCTGGTTCTTTATTTGACACAGTCACTAATGGAAAATCAGCCACTTCACTTAATAACCAAACTTCTACAAATCAAATCCCTCCTACAAGTCAATCCTCAGTTAATCACAGCTTCTCTTTTTCTCCATTCTCAGTCAGTGAGGTCAATAAACTGTTAAAATATCTTGATCCTAAAAAATCTGCAGGTCCAGATGAACTTCCACCTTATTTCTTAAGGCTGGCTGTTCATATCATCACAGTCCCTGTGACCCACATCTTCAATCTCTCCATAAGACAAAACTCCATCCCAGACACTTGGAAAACAGCCTTTGTTCTTCCTTTGCTGAAGGGAGGTGACCCCACCTCACTGAACAACTATCGACCAATCTCTAAATTCTGCATTTTAGCCAAGGTTCTAGAAAAACTGATAAACTCTCAAATCAAAAATTACCTGGACTCATTTAACATCTTACCTCCACATCAATCTGGTTTCAGGAAACAACACAGCACAACCACTGCTTCACTGAAGGTTCTTAATGATGTTGTTGAAGCACTGGATGCTAAAGATTATTGTGCTGCACTTTTCTTAGACCTGTCTAAAGATTCTGACACTGTGGATCAGAACATCTTGTGTCATAAACTCTCAGAAATCGGTTTCTCAGAACACACCATTGGTTGGTTCTCTAACTATCTTTCAGACCGGAGGCAATGTGTTCAACATAATGGTACTTCCTCCAGTTATTTAACAGTCAACAATGGTGTACCACAAGGCTCAGTCTTAGGACCCACCCTCTTTACAATCTACATACATAATGTAGGTAAAAACATCCCTAATGCATCCATACATTTCTATGCTGACGACACAGTTGTTTATTGTCGAGTTAAAACATATGATAAGGCTTTCCAGCTTTTGAAATCTGCATTCAACATCATCCAGTCTGATTTGTCTCGCCTCAAACTTGTCCTAAATGCCGACAAAACTAAAGGGATGCTTTTTTCAAACAGGAAGTCGGTCCCAGCAGTTCTTCCTCTGATTTTATCCTCAAATGGTGTCCCCATTGAGTTTGTTGATTCCTATAAATATTTGGGTATCTTGGTCGACTCACATCTCTCTTTTAAGCTCCATGTGGAAAACTTGGTAAAGAAACTGAAAGTTAAACTGGGTTTCTTTTTCAGAAACAGATCCTGTCTAACCCTGAATGCTAGAAAACGTCTTGTATCTGTGACTTTCCTTCCCTCCATTGATTATGGTGACATTATTTACATGAACGCTCCTACAAGAACCCTGCAGATGTTGGATGCTGCAGATGTTGGATGCTGTCTATCATGGTGCACTAAGATTCATAACTGGCTGTGATTATTGTACCCACCACTGCTCCCAGTATTCACTGGTTAACTGGTCATCATTAACTTCACGCAGACTCTCTCACTGGTATATTTTCATCTTTAAATCACTTCTTGGTCTGCTGCCTTCATACATCTCCTCCTACATGTCTCTGCGTGAGTGCAGCTACAGCGTGCGCTCTCAGGACATTATTACCTGCAGTGTTCCCTCAGTGAGGACTGAACTAGACAAAAGGACCTTCTCCTACTCCGCTCCTGTTTCCTGGAACATCTTACAAAAAGATTTGAAGCTCTCGACCTTTGACCTCTCTACGTGGCTTTAAAAATCTGTTGGATTCCTGGCAGGGACCAATGCAGACATGTTCCTGTTTTTAGTTTTCTACATTTGCCTTAGAATCTAGCTGTTTTTGTTACCTTTTCTTTTAGCCATCCTATTTGTAAAAAAAAACAAAAAAAACTGTAGTATGCTTTTTTATAACCGTTTATTGTTGTTGCTGTTGTCCATTGTTGTCATCATTCTTTGTTGAAATCAGGTCTCTCTTGTAAATGAGTCCTGGAGGCTCAATGGGATTAACCTGTATAAATAAAGGTTGATTGAATGAAAAAAATACTATTCTTCATTAGATTAAAAAAAACTGCAAAACTGCTAGAATCATCTCACAACAGATAAAAACGTATTGTTTTCATTAAAACTAAGTTTTTCATATAGTCACGCTCCTTTGTTTTTTATTTATTTAATTTTTAATGTTTTTTTCCTCTTTCATTATTTTGTGAAATGAAGTTATGACACCCTTCACGAGTTTGTATTTGTTTATCGTTGCATTGTTCTATTTTGTCTTGTTAATAAAGTTCTTGGGGAAAAAAAAAACCCTGATGGATTTGTCAGCAGGTAAGGGGCGTTTACCTTCGGGCCAAATTGAGGTCATCGATTGGTCAGTTACTGACACGCCTTCTGAGTTGATTGACAGGTCGCGTCTTCGAGGATCCGACTCAGCCCCAAACAAACAAAAAACAAAGGAGAGCTGCAGCAGCGGCGCGTCTATGGCAAGCTACAGAGCCCAAAAATAGACCAGTTTACAACGCTTCCTTACGCAAAAAAATACTGGATTACGCCGTAAAATACGTAAATCCACCCAAAACAACGTTTTTTTTAACGCCTGCTTTCTAAACGCCAAAATTTAGTTTATTTTGAACACTGAACGCCACTTTTTATGTGTGGTGCCGTTATAAAACGCAGGAATTTTACCGCAATTTACGTCGTAAAAGACATCGTTTTCTTGAATTTTGCAAATCCCTCCCCACACTTTCTTATCCACTCCATTTAAACTGCAGTCACCCTACAGGAGAAGAACGATTACAGACCACACTAGATATTTAATAGTTTACTAATAGTTTAATTCTTTGACCTCATTTTCACCAATGGAGAGAGAATATCGTAACATTTCTGAGTGCCCTCTGGTGGTGGAAAAGTACTAAAAATTACAGATTTCAAAAAGACTTCTTTACTTGCTTAATTCAAAGGGATACTATGATTTTGTTTGGTGTATTGAACTTTAAGACACGAAAAGGATTCCTGAGAATGGTACAGAATGAAAGAGTGACAGTGAGTGTACATGAAATGGGCCAAAGGGGCAAAAATCTTTTAGTTTTAATCTGTGATGAATTAGTGTGGTCTGTAATTGGTCTCCTATGAGAAATTAGGGTTCCCTGTAATTTGGGTCAAAAAACTGAATGAGTTTAAGAATAATTTCTTAAATCTGAGAAGAAATGGCCTCAAAAGAATACATTTTGTATTATTGATGATCGACAGAAACACCAGAAATTTGATTATTCAGACATGGGAAAAGTATAAAATGAATGTTCTTACATAAAATTACAGTTACTCTGTTGAACCTTTACTCAAGTACAAGTCAAGTTACTGGTGTACAAATCTACTTAAATAAAAGTTAAAATCTTAAAATTGCATCTTACTCTTTACCATAGGAGGGGGAAATAGTTGTCTTAAATTAAATGATTAGTGTGCAGTAACAAATGAAGCAGATTATACAGTGGTGCTCATCCCAGTAAAATGCTTCAATAAATAAAGTAAAAGTATTATTTCATGTCAAGCACTGTTTGCTTTACTTTTACCTGTGAGGCATGTCAGACAAACTTCTCTCAAGCAAAGGATTTCAGACCATAGGAGTGCTTTTAGAAACCATGACAGAACGGTCCGTTTGCTAAAATGTTCAGGTTCTGAACCAGACTGAGGTCTCGGCCTTTCATCATCGGTCCTCCTGAGCACGTCAAACATCCAAGTAGAGGTGGTGATGCTAAAACTATTGTTACAATGCTGATTTAAATGTAGCCACCCAGGGACATCTGGCTCTGTTATTCATGTTTACATGCACTGTGAACTTTGACCATGCACCTACGCTTATAGAAAATACAGGGCTCACTGAAAAACTCATATTGTACCAGTAGCTGTGTTGTTACATGGACATATTATTATTATTATTATTATTATTATTATTATTATTATTACTATTATTAGTCTTTCACTGGTGTCATGAATATAAAAGGCCAGTTATAAAACCTATAACTCTTCAGATTTACAGGATCCTTTAACAACCATGACTATAGAAATACACAGAACTGATTATTTTAGGTTACATTTTAAATAGTGATGGGAATCATCTTTTTGTACCTCGTCTCTTGCTGTAGATATAAACCAAGGAAAAAGCAGGTAAGCAAAATATATGGATGGATGGTTTCTATGTAGCGTTTTACTTAGTAAATCCAGTGTACAAATATTTTAGGTACCATCTTAGGTACATCAAAATTCAAAGTGTAACCCTTTCTAACAGCCGTGTTTGTTTAGTTGCACTACATGTTTCTATGACGACATGATTAGTCCAAACCTTAAGCATCATGTCCCTCAGTGCTTGGACATCTCGCAGACGCCACTCGGGCTTCTCTTGAAGCTCTTCTCGAGCTTTGGCCTCCAGTTCTGGGGTCAGGGTGCAGGAGTAGATGGGTGGAGGGGGTCCAGGGAACCAGCAGTGTCCTGCAGCTGGTGCACAACCCTCTGAAGGATGGCTGAGGTTGATGCACTCATCCTGATTGGCCATGGACTGACTAGAAAACGCTGTTTTAAAAGGCGCATGAGAAAATCCTGTAAAAACATGAACAGCAGCTCCAAGTCAAGTCCCTTTCATAAAGACTCGCAGCAGCAGGCCTCAGCACAGCCTCCGTCACACTAAACAAACAGTTTATGGTGTTGGTAAAAATAAATGCAACCCAGGTGTGCACAGGTATAATTAGAAAGAGCGCGCGGGAGGAGCACAGCACAGTTTGCACCATTCACGACATTTGATCTTTGCTCAGCACAAGGTGAACATAAAATGATGCAGGGTGCACAAAATGCTGATCGTTTTATAAACCGTCGTGCGTTTGAACGACTCCGAGCTCACGCGACCAGAACCAACACGACAGAACCTGCCGGGTCAGACTAATTACTGGATGCTTTTAACACTGCTTTAACAATAACACAGTAATCTAATGAACACGGGCTGCGAAGCGTGACTAATCCCAGAAACAACTTCAGCAGTGACTTTAAATCACAAACTACATCGTCAAAAATCACAACCTACCTGTCTACAAAGTCCTTATTCCGGGTAGAAAGTTGGGGCTTCCTCATTGGTCCATGTGTACCACGTGACGCGCTGCTGAAGCCCAGCGTCACTTTGGTTCACGCTCAAGACGCGTTCAAGTCCATCGAAAATAATCCGACTATGACACGTTACATTGACTAATTTAAACACACGAAGAAAGTGTTCCCGTTAACACGACTCTTTGTATTAAAATGGTTAACATGAACTAAGTCGCAGGCTAATATATAATTAGCATGAACTGGTAAGGCAAATTAAGTGTTGGTACAATTTCACCTGAACTCCTCATCCCTCAAACCAGCACACACGCTCCTGGTCCTCCAGCTAGGTGGCGGGATTTACCCGCGTGTGGCTGAACTTCATCTGCGTCCACCAACTCACTCAACATCTTTCTGTTTGACATTTAGAAAAGTGGTTATTGAAGATAATATATTTATATATACGGATGTAATTGTATAGGGGCTTATTGGTTTTGTTAAAAAAATTCAAACAGTAGGATACATGGTATATGGTGCCACATGGTAGATGGTGAGAAACATTTCTTTAACATTATTTGCTCCAGTGCTCCTTTAAACAAGCCTTTGTATGTGACTACAGAGTCTGAGAGGCCACTCCTCTTTGTAGGACACCACCTGTGAGGTGTGGGTCAAAGCAGACAAGGCCCCTGGGCGTTCAGACTCTTGGCAGCAAAAACTGGATGTAGGAACATGAAATATCACCTCAAGGAGCCAGAGCTTGTGTGTGACGATAAGTTAGATACAGGGTCTATCAAAATATTCACTCCCATGGTTTCATGCTTTTCTTGCTGTTATAAACAAGCCATGATTAATACAAACAGGACTTCTTTACAAAATGCTTCTTCAGTGTCAGTGAAATCAAATTTCAACAGAGTAAGAACAGTTTAATACATCCATCCATTATCTTCCGCTTGTTCCGAAGCTGGGTCAAGACTTGCATACTAATACAAATATGTAATATAAAGATGAAGATCAGTTCCTCCAAATCCGAGGCCATGGTCTTGAGCCGGAAAAGGGTAGAGTGCCCTCTCCGGGTCAAGGAGGAGGTCCTGCCCCAAGTGGAGGAGTTCAAGTATCTTGGGGTCTTGTTCACGAATGAGGGAAAAATGGAGCGTGAGATCAATAGGCGGATAGGTGCAGCGTCTGCAGTGAAGCGGGCGCTGTACAGGTCTGTTGTGGTGAAGAGAGAGCCGAGTCAAAAGGTGAAGCTCTCAATTTACCGATCGATCTATGTTCCTACCCTAACTTGGCACAGAAAAAGATTACAAAAAAGTCCAGATGGATTCAAAAGTCCCTAAAACCTAAACACCCCTGGAGTTCTGTTAAATCAGCTTAAGAAAGGAATAAATATGGGGCATGTGTAAATCTGCCAAACACAAGCCGTCCTCAGACTGAGTGACCGTGAGAGACCGCCAAGACCCCTGTGACCACTCTGAAGGAGCTACAAGCTTCTGCAGCAGAGATGGAGAGACTGAGCATACATCAACTGTTGCAGGTTCTTCTCCAGTCTGAGCTTTATGGGAGAGAGGCAGCGAGCAAGACTGATGATGAAAATATTAAACGTCAACTTCAGTCTCAAAGCAATTAAAATCAACTCTAGTTAAGATGTAATCTGAGTTTTCCTACTGTCTGACCTGGATCAAATGTTCTGGCTTTCCCTCCACAAGCTTCTCAATATAGAGTTTTACAGTTTTGTCCCGTACCTCCTGACAGAACTGATGGAACTGAGCCAGGTCTGGAGGTTGATTTACTCATACATGCCCACACATAATCTGTGGGATTAGGATTTGATTTTGTGATGGTCACCCAAAACACTGACTCTGAAGTCCTTCAGCCACTTTGTAACTAATGAGTCAAGGTCGTTGTTAGTTTGAAGGCCTGTTTACACCCAGTTTTCAACTTCCTGGATGATAGCTTGAAATGTTGCTCAGGTATTTCCACATAATGTTCTATTTTGTGAAGTGCGCAAGTTCCTCAAGCAGCAAAGCACCCCCACATCTTGATGCTTCCACCTCTGTACATCTCAGCTGGGACGGTGTTTTCAGAGTTCACCTTTTTCCTCCAAAGGTGATGAAGGTCATTTTGGTCAAACAGTTTCATTTTAATTTCATCAAGTCAAGTCAAGTCATATTTATTTATAGAGCACAATCAGACATCCATCCATCCATCCAGCCAGCCAGCCAGCCATCCATCCATCCATCCATTATCTTTTACCTGCTTATTCCATTTTGGGTCATGGGAGTCGCCGGTGCCCATGTCCAGCAATCACTGTGCAAGGGCGGGGGACACCCTGGACAGGTCTCCAGTCCATCACAGGGACAACTGGAGACAAATGAGACAACCATTCACTGTCTCACTCACACCTAGTGTCATGAACCAGAGGCCGGATCGCAAACAACAACAACAACCACTGAGAGGGTTAAAAGATTTATTGTGAAATAAAGTAAAACTCTGGAGTAGGTCCGGTTCTGGGCTGGTTCCGATCTTCTGATTGGTAGTTCGAGATTGGGTAGTGTTGTAGTGGCGGGCTGCCAGTAGAAGTAGAACTGATGTTAAGGTCCACTGGAACGGAGTCCAACAGGCTTGCAACTAAAAGATAAAGGTTAGTAGATGCAGGGGGAAAGAGACTAATTGGGGAAATGAATCTGTGGGAATCAGATTCAGGGGTAAGGATAAGTCCGTGATACAGAATGAGCTTGACCTTTAATCCGTGATCCAAAAAACAGTCAGAAGGGAAAGGCAGAGTTCATACCGTGAAGTCAGTTGTTCAGCAGAAGTATCCAGTACGTGATCCAAAGAGAGAGTCAAAAAACAAGAGCATGAGTCGGTACCTGATCAGATGAGCAAAAGCAGACGAGGGCTGAGGCAAAAGCGTGGTCGTGGTCAAGGCAAGGGTCATGAACGTGATGAGTCAATCAATGGAATGCTGGAAAGTCTACTGCTGATGAGACAGGATAGAGAATCTGGCCCAGACTGAGAGGAATGAGTGAGCTTAAGTACTGACTGGACCAGGTGGTGGAGCTGTGGGATAATGAGCGGTGACAGGTGACATGAGTTGAGTGATTACTGAGTGTGCAGCATGACAGAGGAGCTGACAGAGAGCAGAGCTATGACACCTAGAGACAATTTAGAGTTACCAGTCAGCCTAACATGCATGTTTTTGGTCAGTGGGAGGAAACCGGAGTACCCAGAGAAAACCCACGCATGCACAGAGAGAACATGCAAACTCCACCCAGAAGAGCCCCCAGACCAGGATTTGAACCAGGGACCTGCTCGCTGAGAGGCAGCAGCTCTACCAATTGCACCACCATGCTGCCCCTACAGCAGGACATGTCTCCAAATATTAAGGTCTTTGTCCCTGTATGCGTTTACAAAATGTAAATGTCTTCTCCCTCACTGAGTGGTCTTTCAGCTCAGGTTGGTCCAGGATGCATTTCTCTGTGGATTCAATTCAATTCAAAAATACTTTATTAATCCCAAAGGAAAATTATTTGTTGTAACTCGATATCCTCGTTTCATTAAGAGATGTTATAGATGCTGATGCTGTAGGCAGGAAGGATCTCTTGTAAAGGTCCATCCCACAGTGGATCCTAAGAAACTGGCTGCAGATGCCATCCGATCCGTCCACCCAGACTCAGCTGGCCTCTCAGTTCCCCCAGGCTGTAGGACCGCCTGAATGGTGGGTAGAACTCCTCCCAGAGCGATGGCCACTCCCCCCAGCAGTCTGCCGAGCTCCTCGTCGCTGCGGACAGCCAACTGTAGGTGCCGAGGGACAATCCTGTCCTTCTGCTGTCATGAGCCGTGTTTCCTGCTAGTTCCAGGATCTCAGTGGTCAGGCACTCGAGCACAGCTGGCAGGTAGATGAGAATGCATCCACAGAACATCCTTTCAACTCATTTGAGATTTGGGGCTGTAGTTGAGATATTTCCTGATGCATGCTCAATAATCCAGGTAGAAAAATCTAAAAAAGTTAAATCTGGTCCTCTGTACATTCAAAAAAACAAAACAAAGCAAATCAACAAAAAATGTAGAAATGTTTCGTCTCTCATCCGAGAGACTTCCTCAGTCTGAGGTGCTGTATTCAGCTCAGTCTCTTAAATAGCACCTTCTCAGAGTGGATCAACCAGTTTTGCTGCTGACAACCAAAACCAGCTGATCACATGCTCAAGAAGGACCATCAGCCTAACAATGGATCATTAGCACCTGATGGCTGTTTACTACTTACAGAGGGTTGAGTGATACTAGCAATCACAGCATTGTAAGAGGGGGACAATTGAACCCGGAGGCCTCCACCCCTGTTTAATGATGATGGACGATTTCTTTTCACAAAGATGGCCTCCTTTACTCCTCTCTCAAACCATCGTTCCTCTCTGTCCAGGATGTGAACATCTTCATCCCTGAAAGAGTGACCGCTGGCCCGGAGATGAGTGTAGACCGCAGAATCCTGGCCTGATGATGTTGATCTTCTGTGCTGGTCCATCCTTTTGGCCAGTGGCTGTTTAGTTTCCCTGATGTAAGACTGATCACCCTCCTGACACTGAACAGCATACACAACATTACTCTGTTTGTGCCGGGGGACTGGATCTTTGGGATGAGCCAGTCTTTGCCGTAATGTATTTTGGGGTTTAAAAGCCACTGGGACGTTATGTTTAGAAAATAAACGTCTCAGTTTCTCTGATACTCCCTCAACATACAGAATGACCACTGGTCTGGGTCTGGGTTCCTCCTTTTCACCTGATGGCTGACTGGAGTCCTGTTTGGGTTTCTTCTCTGCTTTCAGGAAGGCCCAGTTAGGATATCCACATTGCTCTAGAGCCTGTCTTTTTGAATGTCCAGAGGACCAGATTTAACTTTTTTAGATAGTTGAGATATTATTTGATCTTTTGAGATGTTAATGATAATGAATGGATAATGACTCTTTGACCAGCTTCAGCAGCTTCTTTACAAAGGTGGTGCACACATTTCACACCAATACACATTGATTTCAGAAACACAGATCTCGACTCCTCT